CCCTACACTGCCTTGTAGCCTATTGGTCAACCACACCAATGAACAGAGCTCATTCACAAAACATAAACGAACACAAGCACAAGATGGTGGTCATAACGACACAAACAGTAGGCTAGTAAATGCAAAACAAGGAAGACACGGGCGTTTGTATTCTTTAATTTTAGCCTAATTGTGCACAATACAATACCAAGGACAGCAGCCTGTTCACATATCTTTTAGGAAGGAATTTTTGGGTAGGCTTAAGCCGTCCCTCTCTGGTAACTTTTACCAGAGAAGAACTCTTAAACATTGGACTTTCAACTGCTCATACTATTCCACCGCTCTTTATTGACCCTGAAACTTTCCCGGAGTTATTAGTTGGAGGAGCAGCAGCTCTGTTCGGGATCCTTTGGAAACGGCGCAGGGGAAAACTAGCAGGTGCGCTGGTTAAGCTGAGACAGCGGGGATTTCGCACTGCACTCCCTTCAATTCACCTGGCGAATGTCCGCTCTCTGGCCAACAAAATGGACGAACTGCTGCTCCTCAACAGAACTAATCTCATCCGCGCGGATCGCGAAAGGGAGCTCACGGGAAAAACACGGGGAGGCGGACTCTGTTTCTATATAAACAAAGGTTGGTGCACAGATGTAAGTGTTGAAGAAATCTTGCAGCCTTCACTTAGAGACAAACTCTAACTTTATAACTGTAAACCGTTTTATTTACCGTGGGAGTTTTCCTCGTTCTGGTCGCTGTTTACATTCCCTTACAAAAAAACACATTAATTTCACATGTGCAAAATCCCATGTGACCACATGTGACAACATGGACATGTGATTTTGCACATGTGGAATTTAACATGTGAACATGTGCTTTGTACATGTGTAAGGTAATTTACACATGGGAAACATGTGGTTTTGGAACATTGACATGGTGTAATGTGTGAACCCCATGTATATTCCCATGTGAATCCCATGGGTTACATGTGTAACCCATGGGATTACATGTGAAACATGTAAATTCTGATGTTAAAACTATAGAAAGACCCACGTGAAACCATGGGATTACATGTGTAACCCATGGGATTACATGTGAAACTTGTGTAAATTCTCATGTGAAAACAACAGAAACCCAGGTGAAACCTATGGGATACATGTGAAACATATGTAAACTTAGAACTTCATGTGAATAATGTTACTTACATTTTCTTGCCAACAAAACACAAATGTAAATTAAAGCTGCAAGCAGCGTAGGGCGGGCCCTCGCACTTGTAGCGCGTCCGGGTGTGAGCCGGCCGAGTTGCACATTCTGGAGCTCTGCCGGTGCGGCTGTGAATTTGCTACGCGGTTCCGACGCCGCATGAAGGTGCTATATGTCACTTCCTGTGTCCCCTATGTGGAGCTACATAGCACTTGCCGCTATGAATATAAATTGGTATTGGTGTGTAGATGTCTGCGGGGTGGGAGAGTTATCAAGCACGTAAAGATTGGATCTAGATCTGTAATGAAATAATCTACCGTACTACTGCCAAGAGCTGAGCTGTAAGTGTAGCGACCCAGAGAGTCCCCTCGTAGCCTGCCGTTGACTATGTACAGTAGACAACAGAAGGCTACAACTATGTGTTGTATATTTCAATTAAATTGTTAGAAAGATGAAAAAATATCTATACTCCATCATGTCTGTAATCTTGAGTCGGTTTGTTCCCAGTAAATTTTTTGTTCTTTGCAGTCAGTGCACTCGCTTTAAGGAAAAGGTCAACTAGTGTTGAACAATTAATTAATTGCCTAACACACACAGATACATAACACATTAAACAGGAGGGGTGGAGATGGCGCCGTGAATAAGACACGTCTTTGGTGCGAGAGACCTGTGTTCAATCCCCGACTGTGACACATCCACCAATGTGTCCCTGAGCAAGACACTTAACCCCTAGTTGCTCCAGAGGTATGCAACCTCTGACATATAGCAATTGTAAGTCGCTTTGGACAAAAGCATCAGCTAAATGTAAAAGTGGATTTTTATGGATCTCAGAATATTAACTAAACTGCTTTTGGTCTGTGAACATTAGACAATTAGTAACATTAACTGTAAAATAAGAAACCAAAGTACATCAGTCTGGGATTCCTTAATTCATATTTTTTCCTAGTATTTGACTGGTCTATATACTGCATAATAGAATTCCTGAAATTCAGTTATTCAGTGTGCCACCCCAGGATTTTCAGTGGCCCCATATAGCCACCCCTAAGAACATTTTCTGGGGGCACCAACATGTACACAAACCTTTGACCTTGTTCTAAATATTATTATTAAGCAGCACGACTTGCAGTAATGATGCAACACTAACGTAAAGGTCAGCATTGGCCAACAATCAGAACATCTTTAGTGACAGCAGTCTTTGAGAGTGACACAGCCACAGAGAGCAAACTCCAAGTGTGATGGAAGCTCTATATTCAAGGTTAAGTCGGTAAATTATACTGATTACAGTAATGCTTTCATTGATTAAAGAAGAGTTTGATCATGCTATCCTTAGCAATTTGACCTCACAGAAAAATTACCTAATGTGAAATGACAAAGTAGAAAATGAGTGGTGATAGGGCAGAATGGATGAGCTAAAGACACTTTTGGGCAGTCTTTTAATGAACTTTGAACTGTTGTCACTCTTAAGACAAATTCCCTCTGTTAATACATCCCAGTGGATGAACAATGGCATCTGCTGCTTTAGGCTTGGCTGTCAGAAGACAGCATTTATAGAAAGCAACTCAGCTCTAAGTACCCTGCCTATATCTTAAAGAGTAAATTCATCATCAAGAATGCTAGAGCCTCTTATTTTATTAATCTTATATCTGCCTGTAAAAACAAATGCTAAAGCTCTGTTTTACACTATTAACAACATTGTTTCTCCTGCTACATCTCATGTCCCTGTGGACAATGGCTCAAAATGTTGTGGCAATGCAGCTAATTAATGTTTTGGAGGCTCATAACATTTTGATAAATTTCAGTCTGGCTTCTGTTAAAAAACATTGTCACACAACTCTGGAACTCTCCATTTAGCCTTGAGAGCTATGGATTCTGTGACCCCCCCCCTTTGTCTGTGAAGGTGCTATATTAATAAACTTTACTTACTTACTGACTAATGTGTTCACACACAGTTGTCTCTATGTTGTGTGATAAATACACAGATTATTCCACCCTTCCAGAATGGTGGTGGTGTTTAGTTTGCATAGGCAATGTTAAACAGTTCCCCAAATGAGACACAGAGGCTTCAAGGTTCAGGCTGTTTATTTCTTAACTCCCATATGAAGGTAAAGTAAAACTAAAATATGCACAGAAAAACACGTTACAAAAGCATATTCAATCAACTATACAGTTTAGTACAAAGCTGAAATGACTCCTGACATCTAGCATAAATGCTACAACCATGTGACAAATAACTAGTACTTAGTCTGACATAATGGAAAATTGGCATCAGGATCATGATATTATCTCAACAAACGATCCACATCACTTCACATACCTAACATAAAACAACATGTGTGCTCATATTTACAGGCATATATTTCCTATGCTCTGTTGAAACTAAAGCTGCTTGCACACTGCCCCGACAAACGCCGACCAACTCCAACCAACACCAACTGTTGGAACCAGTGTGCGCTGTCAGTCGGTGTTTGTCGGTGTCAGTGGGATGGAGTCTTTAGAGTTTGACATGTCTAGTCAGGGTTGGGTCTAGTTGTAGAAAGTCGGACCAATGTGCGCTGTTTTCCAACAAACCGCAACATTCTGAGAGTGCTCCCTCAGTAACTCTCTAACCCTAAGCCTAAATTCACATGCGGAACGTCAGCGCGCACAACTTTCTTTGATGTCAATGTAGGTTAGCAAGGTGTCCATTACTCGCTCCTCTCTCTCTCATTGACCTGTCTGTGAACAGCCTCGCCTCATCGTGCATGCGTGCAGAATATTAAAGCTGTAACGGCCAGTATCTATACATCTACAGCTGCTTTTATGTCAAACTGTCATTATGTGCAAATAAGCATCACTTTATGTACATGGTAGCAAAGGTATGTCTTTGTGAAACGTTAATGTTTTTTTTAACGGAATAATCATAGTTGAAGTGTTTGCAGTTTATTGCAATCAGGCCTGACAAAACGTTATTATAGGCAATAAAATTAGCCTATTATTGCTATGTTTGGTAGGCCTATGTTTAATATCCTTGTTTACATCTGGAAAACAGACTTAAATTAAAATTCACAGCTGGGTTAAGCTATAAAAAAAATAAAGGAAGAGTCTCACTTGCAATTATCCTTATGACATTATGACTTTCTGTGTGGAGTTTGCATGTTCTCCCCGTGTCTGTGTAGGTTCTCTCCGGGTGCTCTGGCTTCCTCCCACTGTCCAAAGACATGCGGACTAGGTTAACTGGTGACCCTAAATTGTCCTTCGGTGTGAGCGTGCGTGGTTGTTTGTCTATGTGTGGCCCTGCGATGGTATGTGCGCAGGATAAGCGGTTGATGATAGGTGGATGGACATTATTTTTGCTTTCTCTGAGCCATCCAACCCAGTCCTTTTTATAACCAGTTGAAATATACAGTTCTGTAGTCTTTCACTTGACAAAAAGACAGTGTAGTCAGTTAGCATTTAGCATTAGCAATTAGCATTAGCTTATTACCAGTTGAAATACATTTAAATAGCCAATCCAGCCCATATAGGCTGTTCAGTTTTTGCGGCCTTGACCTTGTGACTTTTTAATAAGAAAAGGTAGGCAACAAAAGTCTGTCTGGTGAGTTCCTGTCTGGGCAGTGTGAAATCTCATACGGTTTTCTGAACATTCTAAAGACTGAAACCGACTGCTGTCAACTTTAGAATGTTGGTGTTAGTTGGGCGCTGTCTGAGCAGTGTGCAAGCAGCTTAACTTAAAAGCTGTATCACCTTTCAAACCGACTGGTATGAATGTCCACAGAACCCCTTAGTCGAGAACAATTTCAATACAGAGATATGAGACAGACAGAGATATGGACATCTTTTATAGCCCTTTTTAAAGTCTTACCTAGAGTACTTGTTTATTTGCATTATTATCTGCACAATAATACACCGTATGTCAATTGTTTTGTAAAACTGCTGCTTTGTATGATGCCACACTTTGCAATTAAACTGTCCTACATATTCTAAAGGGTTCGATTTATCACACACGAGGTGATTGCATCTTTATCTCGTTCACCCTCCTGGTAGTTGGCTACTGTAAAGGTTATGTTAGCAGATGGGATATGGGCAAAACTAAAACAGTACACAAGTACACGTTTCCTCAATATTATAATATATATATATATATATAGTGCAGACATGTCAATCACCAGAAGTTCTAAAGGTGAAATGAGCATACCAGTGTTTTTGCATGTTTAGTCTCTTAACTGCAAATCACATATACTTAACACATAATAAGACTTTTTTCTTGAACTTTCCATTTTTAAATGTATTTATCTGCCAGGCTTTAGATAATGTGATGCTTAATAATTTCATATTGAATTAAAAAGGTCATGAGATCATGTACGTTATATTTTAAATCCCTATAATTTTAATATAATACAGGCAACTGAATTAATAAAAAAAAAATAAAAATCCAAATAATAATAGATTGTTTTGGTTGTTATGTCAGGGTAGGGGTCAGGGGTAGGGATTGAAACAGTCATCACTGTGATTGTTTGTCTTTTTGCTGTAGTTGTAGAGTGATGTAAGGAGTCTGCACCATTTGCTTTGAAAAACTGTTGGTCTTACTCTCTACATTACATGGACCAAACATGCAAGAACACTTTTATGGTAAGCAGAAGAAGTGTATCCTGTCTTGTCTTTCCACAAGAACTGAAACCTAACCAGTACTTTTACTCTGAGGTGTTGGATGTCTCACAGCCCTGGTCCAACAGACAGGAAGTTTTTGGCACATTACTAGATACACTGAAGGGTTTAACAGTTTGTAAGGGCTCATCCCATAAGTGCAGAATAGATGTTCTTCAGCAGCAAATTAAAGCAACAAAAAATATAATTCAGGCTATTTACATATATATCAAGGCATCTTCATTAACAGTGTTAAATATACGCTATGTACAATATGTACTTCAATCACTGCCTGACATAGACAGAGGGACCTAGAAGTTTGATTTCAGCTTATACCTGAAGTCCACATCATAGGTAGGCTGGAGGATTCCCAGGCCAGCACGGGACTGGTCAAGAGGCGGGACTTTGATAGCAGGGTCCAATAGTTCCATGTCAAAGTAGGAAAGCACCAGAGTCAGGAACTGCTTGATCTCATACACCGCAAAAAATCTGCCAGGGCATTTGGTGACCCCAGAGCCGAAGGGCATGTAGAAGTAACGCAACCGCCGGTGGCTATGATAAAAAGTGGTTTTCTCCTGACCCTTCTCATCCAGGAAACGGTCAAACTTGTACTCCTGCGAGGGAAGAGGAAAGACAGAGAGGAGGGTTAGTTTTCAGTAGTAGTAACACAAATTATAGCTTTTTACATAAAGGTACAATGTGTAATTCATGGTCACATGCTCCATACAAATAGGGGCATCATTTCTGACTGACTTTTAGGGAAACTCTGCTATTTAACATCATTCTAGTCGTTAGAGCCACCTGAGGTCAATTCTGAACGAGAATTGTTGGCATCTTCCCCTGAAGCCAAACGTGAATGTTTGTTTCCTGGGAAGTAATGAAAGGACAGCATTATAAATGGGGGACAAGTGGTGTCGCAGACCGCCTCCTAATTGGCTTCTCTGTCTAAAATGTGCAGCTGCTGGTCCTTAAACGAGTGTCCTTAATCCTTCAGATGTAAGTAAACTGCTGAGTCTTGACCTGAGGATTTAGCCCTTCTGTGTTGTTTAGTTCCCCCAATATACCTCAGGTGGCTGTAACGACCATAATGACTGTCGTTACAACAGCCAGGCGAACCAGCGACTCCACAGAAGTTAAACAGCTGATTTTCCCTACCAGTCAGTCTTGGATGAGGGACAAAACATCTTCTCATATCCAGTTAAAGTCCAGTTGCCCTTGATTTCAACCTTCCTTGATGGTAAACAACATTTGCCTCAACAATGACTTACGGCACGGCATATATATACTGTATATATTATGTAACCCCTGGCTTTGAGTTAAAAGGTCCACAGCAGCATATAAGTATTATAGCTCATATTAAGCTCTGTCGCTTTAAGAGACGTTTCCATAGTTTGTTCAAAATTGTACATCAGTAAGCCCTTTGGTGAGACAGACCATCAGCCTCCGATTCGTCCACGTAGATGGCTATCACATTTCTAATATTGTGACTGGTTAAGGAGTGTGACTGACAGGCAGAGCAGGTCGGAGTTGCACTGGTCAGCCTGCTGCAGCAAGTGTTTGTTTTTTGCTTGAGGTAGCAACTAGCTGCAGAAGTAAGAAAAGTGTAATTTAATTAATATACAGAGGCGGTTAGTAGCCTAGTTAGTTTGTAATGAGTTGGTCACACTGCTACACAGTTTTGTGTATTGTACTGTGCTGTTGAGAGCTATTAGTCTGCAGGTAGTTACAGGTTAGCGCCATCGCTAACAGAAAGCTAACATCGCATGCAAGGACACTGGAGCTACAGACAGAGCCCTTTGTGACCGGTAAGCATGGCTGCACTTCTGCACCTCTGGCTTCGAGGAAGACCAGCCTGTGCCTGTCTTCATCTTCATCTTTCTGAGAGGATTGCCAAAAACTCGCAATACCATGGGACTCAATGTGTGAATGGCAAATTGGCGGATTCAAGGTGCAGTTGCAATTTGTGAACAGTACAACAATGCAATAAAGAGTACACAATAAAGAGTTATGTCATGCATTGTTGTACCTTAGCATTCGCATTCTGCTGTTTTTGACAATACTCCCTGTTAAGGTGACTGCTACGTGCTCTTTAGACTCAAAATGTAGGAAACGTTTAGGGGTGCAGTTGGAAAGAGAGACTGGTTATATTATGCCTTTTGCCAAGCAAGGAAGTTGAACCAAGAGCAGACTGCAGGGTACTTCCCAGTACTCCAGTCTCACAGAATGTTGTTCAAAAAAGGTTAGTTCAACAGCAGACTCTGTTATGGTTGTAACTCTCTGTCCACAGGAGAATGGCAATGTTGCTAGGCAATGTACAGTTGTGTGTGCACTACACATTGTGAAAAAACTGTGTTGCACTCTTCTGGTTTTAACATGCATTTATAGTGGCTGTGTTGTCTGATCAATTCTATTAAAAGTGCAGGTTATTTAATTTCTGCAGCCTAAAAGTGCTTGTTGCACCATAGCTCTTTTATTTATTGTAGGTCATTTTTATTTAATTCTAGTTACAAGTAAATTTTATGTTCTAGTACTCTTTCCTGGTAGTAATTACACAGGTGTCTTACATAGGGATCTTCGTAGATTTCTGGATCGTAGTGCAGCATGGGTGGATATAAGGCAATGACGTCATCTTTCCTTATACGGTAAGCTTCTTGGTTGTCAAGGTGAAGCAGGAAGTCCTCCTTGGCAACACGCACATTCATTGAAGCACTGGAAAGACGCATGGCTTCTTTGATGATGCTGTCTGCAGAAAGTAGACAGAAAGACATAAAGGAGAATGTTTACAACATTTCTTTACTGCATTTGAAGGACAAAACATGCATGTGGGTTGTATGTGGCATGTAGGCAATGTTAGACTTAAATTTATCAATATTAGTGGTCATAGTATTTTCTCTATTGGTAATCTTACCCAAAACAGGTGTGTTGTCCAGCTGCTCCCTGGTGAGGTTCAGTGTGGGGTCGTTGGGGTTAACTGTCAGACCTGCATCCTCCAAAACCTTCTGCACTTCCTCAAGAGCTGCCTTCATAGCATCTGGACTCCTGAGCACAGATACAGGAGCCTGTTAGTGATGTTACTGTCATTGGTAGGAATGCACTATAGTTTATTGGGTAATTCGTTACAGTAGCACCATGTGTTTTGTTTTCTGCAGTGGGGTTTAATTGTAACTTAGATGCCTGGTACGGATATTGTTTTTTTTTTGTTGTTGTTGTTTTTATTTAACCTGTCATGCTTGGCAGCGTGGTATATCAATAGACATGATTGTCATGATGCTCCGCAGGTAAACACCTCCCTTAAAGCTGAAGTCAGCATTTTAACCTTAGTTATGGTTTCATTTTATATCCAAGGTGCTGGACTACAGAGACGAAACTATGCAAAAAAAACTATGCAAAATGTATTTTTGTCCTAAAATGTTATTTGGTTTGCCATGTAAATGTCCTGTGGTCAACATGCTCACACAGTCCCAGCTGAGGTGCCTTCATGTCAGACTTGTTGCAACATCATAATGCAACTCTGTTAATCTGCTCCCCATTGAACCCAACATGACTTTCTTCCTCAACTATGTCTTCTATCTTAACTGCATGGGGGTATTAGTACAATGCCGACAATCGGTTGAAACCTTTGAATTTTGGTCTTTTTTTTCTCCAAAAATATGCTGCTGCAGTAGTAAAGTATTTTCTTCAGCTCTTGTCCCATTGGTCCAAGTCTTTTAGGGGGGACAGTAAACTCACTTATTTTGAGTGGTGTGATAGCACTGCTAGCAAGCCAACTAATATAGCAAAGCAACGCCTGTTGAGCTTACATGGGACTGCTTGCCAAACCAATAGTGTATAAATTTTTTGGTTTACAACAAGAATGTTACAATGCATGGACTACTGTTTCATCAACAGATGTTTACATGTTACACTGATCTTAGACCAGCCAGTTAGACTGGTCTAACATGGGTTTGATATAGACATGTCTTTAAATATACAGTGGGGGAAATAAGTATTTGACCCCTTGCTGATTTTGCAGGTTTGCCCACTTACAAAGAATGCAACAATCTACAATTTTAATCATATGTACATTCTAACAGTGAAAGACAGAATCCCAAAGAAAATTCCAGAAAATCACATCATATGAATTTATAAAAATTGATAACCATCTGATGAGGAAAAACAAGTATATGACCCCCTACCAAACAGCAAGTATTCTGGCTCCTACAAGCCAGTTAGTCTTTCTTTAAGACACAGTCCCAATCCCAACCAATTATCTACATCAAATACACCTGCCTCACCTCGTTACCTGTATAAAAGACACCTGTCAACACCCAAACAACCAGCATCCAACATCACCACCATGGGCAAGACCAAAGAGCTTTCTACGGACATCAGGGACAAGATTGTTGATCTGCACAAGGCTTGGATGGGCTACAAGAGAATCGGAAAGCAACTTGGAGAGAAAAGATCAACTGTCGGTGCAGTTATCAGGAAATGGAAGAAGCACCACACCACCGCCAACCTCCCTCAGTCTGGGCCTCCACACAAGATGTCGCCTCGTGGGGTGTCCCTGATCATGCGAACGGTGAGGAATCATCCCAAAACCACAAGGGGGGAACTGATGAATCAACTGAAGGCAGCTGGGACCACAGTTACAAAAGAAACGGTTGGTAACACACTACGCCGTCATGGATTGAAATCCTGCAGCGCACGCAAGGTCCCCCTGCTCAAGAAGAAACATGTACAGGCCCGCATGAAGTTCGCCATTCACCACCTGGACGACTCAGAAGAGGCCTGGAAGAAGGTGATGTGGTCAGATGAGACCAAAATAGAATTTTTTGGCCTCAACTCAACTCGTCGTGTTTGGAGGGCAAAGAACACCGAGTACAACCCAAAGAACACCATCCCCACCGTCAAGCATGGTGGTGGCAACATCATGCTTTGGGGGTGCTTTTCAGCCAAGGGGACGGGACAACTCCATCGTATTGAGGGGAGGATGGACGGGGCCATGTATCGTGGAATTCTGGACCAATATCTCCTTCCCTCAGTGAGAGAGCTGAAGATGGGTCGAGGATGGGTGTTTCAGCACGACAATGACCCTAAGCACACCGCCAAAGCAACAAAAGAGTGGCTGAAGAAGAAGCACATCAAGGTTCTGGAGTGGCCTAGCCAGTCTCCAGACCTGAATCCAATTGAAAATCTTTGGAGGGAGCTTAAAATTCGAGTTGCCAGGCGACAACCTCGGAACCTGAATGATTTGGAGGCTGTCTGCAGGGAGGAGTGGGCCAACATCCCTGCCGAAATGTGCACAAACCTTGTCACCAAATATAAAAACCGTTTGACATCTGTGCTGGCCAATAATGGCTTTTCTACAAAATATTAACATACTGTTTGTCCAGGGGGTCAAATACTTGTTTTTCCTCATCAGATGGTTATCAATTTTAATAAATTCATATGATGTGATTTTCTGGAATTTTCTTTGGGATTCTGTCTTTCACTGTTAGAATGTACATATGATTAAAATTGTAGATTGTTGCATTCTTTGTAAGTGGGCAAACCTGCAAAATCAGCAAGGGGTCAAATACTTATTTCCCCCACTGTACATTTATATCGCCAGTTACATTAACCACCTCAGCCTCAGGCTATCTGAGAACAAAGGGCTGTGTTTTGGCACTAATAAGTAATCTGACAGTTAAGAGCTGTTGGGGAGTACAGATATTTCCAGTTGTCCTTGTAACTGTTAATGTCTTCACTCAAGCTATAGTTCAGTCTGTGTACCCTCTGTTTAAAGCTGTATTCGACTTTTTTGATTACAGGAAAAACAAATATACAATGCATTATTTAGTTTGTGTGAATTTAAAAAACAGAAATCCACATTCTTTTTCCTGTTTTCATCTTCAAATTGGCAATTGAAATAGAACTTGTTTTTCACTTTTACTGTTATATCTATATTATCTGCTGTTAGCTGCAATAACTTAAAAGCATTGTCATTGGCTGTACTAAATATAACAGACAGAAATATAGATCCAGAGTAATTGCAGTCTTCAATTAATTTCCTTTTGTTTTAGCAAAGAATAACAGCAGGCTACTGTTTGCCAAGCTAAAGAACGCATTTTAATTCAGTTTCTAACATGATGATCATTACCACAAGCAACACGACAAGCAGAAAAACAGTGTTGAGATTAATCTGGACAGAACTATAGGCTACAATAAAATACATACAACTGTGCATAAAAGTTATGGAATCGCCTCTGCATGTGGAGTTTTAAATCAGCACTGAGGAAATCAAACAGATAAAAACTTTCCAACTTGCCCTACGTGTGCAGGGGTGCTCTCATTGGGGCATCCCACCTGTTCAAAATAAGCAAATCACCAACTGGAGCCAGCCATGTACCACACCAGATACATTTGGTCATGAATGGAGAGGAAGAAGCATGTAGGTGTGTGTAATAGGGGCAGGTAACATAGATCTAACAGTGAAAGCAAAACCAAAGTTGTTTGGGACTATTGGTTTAATTTCTATTCCAATTTCTGATTTGTTTATCCTTTTATCAAACAAGTTCAACACAGCTTTGGACATTCCATCTGTCTTTAGTTTGTAAAGCCGTGATTTACTCTAAGACTAAGTTAGTCTTGCTAAGCATGGTCAAGAGCTAGAAAGATTTGTGCAACTGATGAACTTAAACTGACACCTGACTGTTTTTTGGATCTATGCCATAATCAAAGTTTGATTTATGATCCTAGTCCCAGATTGTTTAAGTGATCAATTCACGGTAAAGAATACTAGGGCCCTATGAAATCGGTTTTAATTTTTCCCAAATTCCACGTTTTACGTTCAAGCACATTTGATCATCAGAAAGAGGGTGTGATCATGTGGTGGATAAATACAATTTCAACAACTCAATAAGAAAATATTAAAAAATGTAACCAATATCAAATTATCATTTGAATTATCAAACCAAATGTGCATAGAAATGTTCAAATGTATGTGAAATTATTCATGGGGACAGTTCACAATACTTGTAGCCTACTGTGAATTGTCCCCTATTAAATAGGTTAGGCCTATTACTTGATAACTGATCATTTCTTCTTCTGGATTAAGCCAAGTCCATGCTGCTCGACAGAACGGAACATCTGACTCTGCCCAAACAGCCACGAAGTCTTCAAGTAGCTTGTGTCATGCATCTGCCGATGTTGTTGCACTTTGCAATTTAAGTGATGAGATTTAGCTAGCATGCTGACCTTGCTTCAATATAACGCCGTCTGTGTGTGTGTGTGTGTGTGTGCCTGCTCTCGATAGAGAGAGGAGAGAAGCAGGGTGCTCGTAAATGACGCGTAAATGCAAACAAAACTTAGCAGTATAGTTTTTCTAGTGCCTTATTTTTTTTATAGTTTGTTTGGTTTAAGTGCTGTGAAAAATAGTCTTATAATGAAAGGGAAAACCCTAATTTTTATATATTGCAACCACATTTTGATAGATTCTGCAACATTTTGCGTTTAACAGCAGATACCACTTTTTTTTGTTAAATTCTGTGATTCCGTACTTTTACCGCATCGCTGAAATCATAGGGCCCTAGAATACCATAAACTAACCATAAATATACATTTGAGCAAAGACCTCAGACCTCAACTGCCACTAACCAGTGAGTTTAGCCATCATTTGTTGCTGCCTTCTGTTTCATTTCCTGAGAGCCCACATAGTAAAGAAAAAGATAACTATCAGCATACCTGATCATATAAAAGAGACTCCAGAAAGTAGCAGGTAAGGTGTTAGCCTGTGAAGCCCAGAGCAGAGCAACGTGGGTCCTCGCCTTGCTCACGTCATTGAAGGTAGATAAGGAATCATTCAGGATCATCCTCATAGAGATCAGATCAGACACATTCTCCCTCTTGGACAAGTTTTCAGCGTGCATGGTCTTTGCTAGGTTCTGGACAGTTGAAAAGAATAAGTACGAAAATACATTCATACATGAGTTTTTCTTTTGTAAGGCTTACTGTGAAAACCTGAAAATGGCAGTATAGAGGCATTGTGGCATCAGGTCAAGGCAGTTTATTTTTTCATTTCCTGCTCCGACAGTCCTAGGAAAAGCACACTAACCTCTCTGGCACTGTAGGCACTCTTAAAGACATGAATGGGCAGGCCAGCCACCAACGCCGGGAAGATCTTGTCAAACTCTTTGAAGTTCTCCAAAGCATTTAGCACCAAGGCTTTCTGAGCCGCCTGTCGAGCCTGACACTTGTCTTCACCTAGCTCTTTACCAAACAGAGTCAGGTAGCCAGACTCAAACATCACCTGAAGGACAGCAGGTCAGAAGGAAACCAATTAGTTGTATCACACTCTGTACACAGTGTCCAAATGTTACTGCAATGTGTATGTCTAATTCCTCTTGGGTACTTTTTATGCTGTTTTATTGAGTTACAGCCATGACAACTGACTTTGTTAGACAATAATTAAAAGTAGGCCTACGTCTACTGACCTTGTAGCAAAAAGCAAAGATGCCATCCACCTCCCAGTGGTCCTTGCTGGGGCTGAGTGTGTCCGACCTCAACATGACGTCCTGGAGGTGGCTCATCATAGTCTCTATTAGAGAGGGCAGAGCCTCACCCTGCAAGGTCTTCAGAAAGGTTTGGTGGAGGTTTTCTGTGGTGTGGCCATGGCGAGGGTCGAAGCTGTCGTGGCCGAATGCCTAGTTAGGGAAGGAAGAAGAGGTTTAGGACCATTGAAGGACTCACTGGTAGCATGAAAATGTCCTGTCCTCTGTGGAGGAAGAAAATATCCTGATGAAGATGGTATAAATAATAAAAATGAAACCTTGACAGATGTAGCAAAGTGGAACTTCCTCCAATCCAGGTGTCTCCCCTGTCTGATGACTGAATGGTAAGAGAAGGGGTCGCACAGAAAGTGGATGTACTGGCCTGCGATTTTGCACGTGAAAATATGGCCGTACTTCTTCTGGCGGCTGCGGAGGAACTGGAGAGGGTTGGCCCCGAACTGCAGAGCACAACCCAGGTAGGGGATGAAGCCATTCTCAACTGCAGGCTCACCAGGTTGCCTATGGGCATTGACAAGAAAGACATAGCAGACAATATTTAGTACAAAGCCAAAACGGAGGGTAATGAGGGTCCTATTAAATTCAAAGTAATAATCCCCTTTTTATCCATTTTTATGAGTCAGTGCTCAATTTGCTTCTTACTATTACCTACTCATATGCAGCAATAGTGATTCCACCTATAGCCAACTCAACTTTTTTCTTTGTCTGATGAAGAGACCATGTATTTTCAAAATATCCATTTTCATGAAATCAGAAAAACTGCCTTGTTTTAAGCTTTGTGTAAGTATCATTATTGAACAAGTATAGTGAAGTAAGTGAATAGGCTGAATCCAAGAAATAACATGTGAGTTCTTCGGGTAATGAAAGCCTAAAATTCACACAATATGATAATACATGGTTTGCACTGAACAGCCTCTCCATTGACAAATTTATAATTAATTCATTAATTAATTATGGACACAAACCACAGATAGGTTCATGGTCCCCCAGGCCACTGGGGAGCCCTGTCGCCTAGGGCTTTATGCTGGTGACCATGTAATTGCAGCGTCAATGGTCCAATTCCAGCCAGGACCTTGCTGTTATCGATCTTCTTCTAGTAGTAGAACTAGTAGTACCTTTTTTTTTTTTACTGAGGAAGGCCAATGATGCCCATATTCATTAAAACTCTTTCAGACCTTGTCAATGAACCCAAGTTTCCTGAAGTGGAACCATGGCCCTCCTAGCAACCACATTTTCAAAACATTAACAAACAGTTACCAGTGTTGTTATAGTTATACCAAAACAAACAGAATTAGTTACATACCAGCCTTAGTGTCATTATGATGCTCTTGTAAGTAAGATCATTCTTTAAAACATATATTGTCACTTTAAAAACATATTTCCTATTTTGTCAACCTTACTACAAAGTATTATCATTATTACAAAAAGAAGCACCTAATCAGCTACATCTCGATTCTGAATACACATGGCCACTGAATACATAAGATAAGGTTTGACAACAGCAGCAGCTTAGCCAGCACACTGGTGACAGTGTTTGTGAATCACCAACATACCAAATAAATTCAATTATCTTATCAATAATTAGCTTTTGTTTGATTAGCACACACTGCATGCATACCAATGTTGGTGTTGATCTCTGTGCAGTAAGCTAAAAATCAGACTAGATGAATATGTATCTTCTGGAGATACATATTAATGTTAAATGCTCTAGACACACTGTGTAAGCACAATACAGGAGTTTAAGCATAAGAAATGCCTAATACCCTGCATGTCCTATGTCCAGTCTTACCTGTGTCGTATCCCTACAGCAAGCCATAGAAGGCAGCAGAATCCCACCACTACAGCCCAGATCAGAGCGATGCTTAATATCATGGTGATGTTGATGAGAGAAAGATCCGACACAGCAGGAGGCTCCCTAACAGTTATGAATGCTCCACACTAATCACATTAACTGTTGCCTGCTTCATTAAAATCAACAGTCCTAGAGAGAATAATGTGTATTAAAAATGCTGCCCTAGGTTCCTGGAGTTTTTCAACCCAGAGACAATGAATGCGACACTGCCTGTAACTACAAGTTGTGTAAGCAACCTGTGTGCATGTGTTGGTGAGCAGTCTAGTCCTAGTGCGATGACAGGCAGCGTGTAGCAGGTTTTTATACCTTCTTTGTCCCTTAGGGTGGGCCCAAGGGCAGATTCAGGGGAAAGATATCATGTCATCATTGAAGTCAGACTCAGCCAAGTCACACGTGCATTGCAGGGGAAAAAGTTCAGTTTTTGTCATTGCAACTATTGGCAATGTGTTGTGTGTATTTTTGGAAGAGGATTCTTTTCAGCATTTGTTAGCTTAAATTATTTCTACCTTCTGGTAGTTATTAATTCCATTAAAATATTTCTTAGTGTAAAAAAGGTGATCATATCAAATTAAATTTGCATAAACAGTTAGGTGTTTAAGTCTGTGTAACAGACAGACTTTTACTAAATTTTAGTATAGTAAAAAATCATAGTGTCCTCTTGTCAATTCCATCTAAAATTCTCTAAATAAGTCATATTATCTAGCCTGTTATCTCACTGGGAGTTCTCTAGGAAATGGGGTTCCAGGCATGCTGTGTGTGTGTGTGTGTGTGTGTGTGTGAGAGAGAGAGAGATGGCCTTGACCGGAGTCCACGGACAGTGTTTCCTGAAGCACTGTACTGTGATAGTGCATCTTGGTTGGTAAATAGATTCAAGGTCCCTGCTGTACTGCTGCTGCTGCTGCTGCTGCTGTGTGTGTGTGTGTGTGTGTGTGTGTGTGAGTGCAGGTGAGAGTAGGAATGAACATTACTATTGTATAGTATGTGACAAGTGTGACCTGTTCAGACATGCCATTGTGCCAGTGGATGTAAAATCTAGTTCATCAAGAAGAACAACATTAAAGCATAACAAATGTCATCAAAGCATGCTTAAGAACACTGCACAGTTTGATAGATGGTGAGTTAGTGAGAATGAATCATCTGACTACCTGAACACACTATACCACAATGGAGGTGTATGTAGGAGTGAAACAAAGTTCAAGCCCAAAGAAATAATTTTCGCAGTTCTGTGGAAAATAGGTAGAACGTATTGGAAAATTCAGTGAAAGTAAAGAAGCCAATTATTACAAGGCCTAACTAAGTAAATGTTTCTTAAGTGATGTACTTAAAAATACTTTGACATTTGAGGTACTTTTACTTGACTTGTGTACGTTCTTCTCATGCCACATGTAGCATTACTACCACATAATAAAGGCAGCACCCAAAATATGTAGTATAGGCCTAAATTAGTACAAAATGAAGTGCAGAGATGACACTCAACTGCGTGTATTTCAATATGGAAAGATTTCACTAAGTGAACAAAGAAAATGTAAGTCATTTAGCGATTAGACCCCATCGTGATGACGTGGTATTTAATTAGAATTCAGTTAAATTTTATTTATACAGTGCCAATTCATAAATAAATATTATTCAATTGATACAACAATGAACAATAAATAAATGCACATAGGGGGTAGAGAGAGAGAGAAATCATTGCTTATTACATGGTTCAACATTTCCCTCTCTCGCACACACGCAAATGCACAAACACACACACAGCAGTCAACTACTTGCCCGAGATGTCTGTAATATTGCAACAGGGAGTAGGCCGACTCATACTAGGCAATCCGTTAAGTTCCAATCGCCTGAAAAATGCCATCAAAGACTACTGCTCAAGGAGAGACCGCAATTCCGCCCTTGGTAGTATTAAAGTGTTATTATTTTACGCACTGCTGGCCGCCGGCACACAGTAGCAAGCATATTATCATTTGTATCGCTGTACTAATTGGAGGATGCATCAAAAAGCCAATAATACTAAACAAATAAGCTGCAGTCAATACAGAGTAATACAGTAGGCTACAATACAACTGAGTTCATTTTCACGGGTCGCTGCCTCAACCTGTTTGGTTAAAACTGTGCGCACAATAGTGGCTGATGGTGGAGAAGTGCAGCCATCCTGTCAGTCATGTGATGTGTCTTTTTCTGTCTGTCTGTTTGTTTTTGTTGCTGCCATTTCTCTGAGGAAAGTTAGGAAAAAATACTAATGAAGAGAGATGTGCAGCATTGATGCGAGTTAGCACGGAACATCACAGGCACATTGAACTTGCATGCAGCTGTGGATCTGTGGCAGCCAAACCGTCCCACAGCCACCAAGGTGCCCCTCCTCCCCCAAAAAGGCACTGCACATTTACAGTACGCATGACGAACAGCAGCATAACGTCGTTGATTATTTAAATAAAAGTAAGATCGGTCAGGATGCACTGACAGCAGCCTCTCTAATCATGAAAGACACAATGAAGAAATCACCTGGAAGAAAGAGATGTGACCCAAGTTCAGTTCATCATAGTTTATAATAATGCAGTGCAAGGAGGATGCAGACGTTTCATAGAGGAGACGAGTGTAAAAAACACAGATCTGTCTGTCTGTCAACAGACTCCAGCCTGAAGTGTAATTTACGCATTTCACTGATAAACCACAGAACTGTAGAGTAACACAAGGCTTTATGATCAAAGAAAGTTTTTATATCACAGCGACACTTCAATCATACTTGCACACTCATGCTCTCACTTGTCCAGATAAGTTCTCTCTCACTCTACTGTGTGTCTGCATCACACTTTATCTATTTATATACAATGTTTTTAATAATGCGCCATTAAACTGTAGCATAGCTCACAGACACCGTGATGGAGCTGAAGCAACTTAGTGTGCATGGAACACAACAAGAATAAAGAAAAGGCTGGCAGAACAGCCGACATCCCGCAGGAGAAGTGAGTCAGGCAGAGGGAAGAAGATTCAGCTAGGTACATGTGGCACATTTCACCCAATCTGCAATTTATCGAGTGGCCACTTGAGGCTGGCTCCAAAGGAGAGTCAATCCCCTTTGACCCCCATGTTAAAATGCCCAACTTTACAGCAGAATAAAGCGATAGTTACATATTGTACATATTCTATGAGTATTTGTGCAGCCCTCCAAGGCTATCACTATTGGGTTTACCCCTACGTGTGCATGTGCAGCACTGGGAAAAGCTTTTCTATGCCCACCCATCTCTTACATCCTCACCTTGTGTATATAGGACGATGAGACCTGGCCATCGGCTCCCATAATGCCTTTTCTTCAACACTGAGAACCACAGGTCCACAGAGCTCCACAACTTTGAGGGCTGCGCCTAGAATCTGGAGTTATAATACGTAATCACCGTTTTATTCTGCTGTAAAGTTGGGCATTTTAACATAGGGGTCACATGGGGTCGCCCTCTAAGGCTATCGCTATTGGATCAGAGGCGAAGCAGGATGAGTCAACGCCTCACTCGCCCATACGGTACCACCAAGCACAGACCCACCTGCCCAGAGCCAACATATTAAGCCACCCAGTCCCTCGCAGCCCGCAGCATCCGTGGTGACATACGCAGGACCACCGATTGCGAGATATGGGAGAGGCAAATCAACCCATGAGTAAAAGGCCGGGGACAGGATGGGGGGGCCCCGCAGCTGTGCAGGCACAGACGAGGTCACGCACTGCAACCGTTCCAGGTCCGCACAGAGCAGGGCCAGCGTTAGCAGCGGAGCAAGATCACTCAGACAGAACATTCAGTGAGTGAATACTCGGTGAGTACGGAGTGAGTCAACAAGAAATGGGAAACATCCTATAGGTAGAAACAGACAAACGAGCACTGGGAAGACACAAGGCTGCCGTGCAGATGTTGTCTACCGTCATCCCACTGTGCAAAGCCACAGAGGAAGAGATGCCTCTGGTGGAGGGCACCTTGATGCTGTTCAGGGGAGATTGATAACACAATGATAAAACAGAACTCAGATAGACATAGGCAAAACACAGAAGTACACAGACCAGGAGTGAACACTTAACACATAAACTAAGGTACAGGACTAAGATACGAGGCAAGACAGATACTAAATAGATGTGGATGAATAATAAAGGCTAAACAGAGACTAGAGTTGAATGAACAAAATCAGATTACTGAAACTGGCAGAGAACATAAATGACACCTAACCAACTATAACACAGGGATCATAACTGAGAAATGAGAACACAGAAAAACAAAAATCAAAACCTAGACAAGGCCAGGGAGTAGACAGGGAATTCTCCGGCGGATGGCCTGAGGGTAGAGCAGGGGGGTCATAAGGTCCAGGAGGAAGACAAAACAGGCAAATCAGGGTTAGGGAACAAAACAGTCATGCAGGCAGATCATGCCCAGGAAACAGGGCAGGTAAGGCGCTTGGCCTAACATGCAGGGCAGGGCAGAGGGGCAGAACAGTTCGGGAGGCCGACCAGGAGGTCGTTTGAGCAGGCCAGGAGGGTAACGGAGAACACACAGTTCAGGAGGTCGTCCCGGAAGACGACCCAACAGGCCGGGTAGGGCAGGGGGACCAGACAGGGAAACCTCAGGCAGGCAGCCCGAGGGCAGAACAGAGGGACCAGACGGGGAAATCCCAGGCGGGCGGCCCGAGGGCAGAGCAAGGGGGAAACAGAGTTCAGGGGACGACCGAGCAGACCAGGAGGGCAAAACAGTTCAGGTGGGCGTCCCGCGGGATGACCCATGAGGCCAGGCAGACCAGGGGGGAAACAGAGTTTGGGAGGCCGTCCCAACAGGCCGGGCAGAACAGGGGGGCCACAGAGTTCGGGAGGCCGCCCCGGAGGACGACCCAACAGGCCGGGCAGAACAGGGAGGCAACAATGTTCGGGAGGCCGCCCCGGGGGACGACCCAACAGGCCGGGCAGAACAGCTGGGCCGAGGTCCTCGGACTGAGCAGCTGGGCTGATGACCACCGGCGAGACAGCTGGGCTGATGACCATGGACAGGATACGAGGAGCTGGAGTCGGCCTGACCACCGACTGGACAGCAGGGCTGAGGGCCATGGACTGGACATGAGGAACGGGAATTAGCTGGGCCACCAACGGAGCTGGTGTTGGTTGGACCACCGACAGGGCACGAGGAGCAGGAACCGGTCTGGCCACCGAACGTGGGGCAGGGGTTGGTCTGACCATCGACGGAGACCTCGGAGCAGGTGTCGGTCGGACCTCCGATGAGGGACCAGCCACAGGTGTCGGTGGGA